CATAATCAAGTTGAAAAAGAAATTAATTATTCTCTTCTGATTCCATAATCTAGAAATGTGGAGTTGTGTGATCTTTATTCCACCCCGAGAATTAAATTACACTCTTAACAAAGCCTTCTATATGAGATAGCCAAGTCAATGGAAAACATAAACAGCTATAAATTTTCCTTCTTTAGTACTTAATTTTAGGATTTGGCTATCACACCAGAAGCCATGGTTCCAACTTGGATAGAACCTCAGAAAAGTCATAGCCATGATCATTAGTGAAAATACTTAAAGATGTGAGAGCTCACAGGATAGACTAAGACAAACGGAAGGTGTCTTGAGTCCTCTCCTGTTATAAGCTTAGGTACCAAGATTAAAGCTGTAAATGGGAAACCCCATTTACTTAGAAACCAGAGATCAAAATCCTCTCTTGAGTCTAGATACATATGCAACAGTACATTAAGTACTTAAGTTGCAAATTTTTATAACAATTTTATCTACATTTTCTGAATTGATCAAAATATTTTCTCATTAAATTAGAAAGCTGCATTGAGATTGTTGCTTATTCTGACAAGTTTCAAATTCATAAATTTGTACAGCAGTATGCTAATCACGAAGTTGTAGGTTGCTAGGAGAAAAGAAGGAAGACATGAAAGTGGGAAAGAATAATGGGCAAAAAGCATCAAAATGCAGGATTTCTGGGCTCAGAACAGAAAAATACAAAAGAACTGCTCATACAAAAGCTTTGATATTGTATTTTAAACATGCACATGTTTATGTTCCTGATTCTACCCTGATCATTATTATTATTTCTTATCAAATAATGATTTAGTTTAAATAAATAGTTTTGATCATAAGAAGCTTGTTAACTAAATTTCTCAGTTAATGTTTGAATTACAAAATCATACTCTCACTTATTCTCCTTCTGGATTCCCACTAATACAGAATTTTTTACTTCCCAGTGACAAACTCAACAGAAACAGCAAAAACCATTTCCTTATGACTTCTTCTAGTGAAGTAACATTTGAGTGTGAAACTCTGCTGTGTGAGGAGGGCACAGTACTCAGTCCTTTCACTTCTTCCTTTGCAGTCTCTAATGGTGGAAGGACTTACCATCTTCTTTCAGAAACTGTATTTTCAAACTCTTGTATGTTTTATGACAGACTTCTACATCGTCAGTACTTGCTTTATGTGGGTTAGGCATATCTTAGCAAATCTCTCTTGGAGTTGTCTCTTAAAGAAAATGTTAATTAAATCCCATGTTCCCCATTCTCCTTGTACACAACCAGAGGAGTCTGGGACTGGTTTGCAGAAGGGCTCAAAATTTATGGGTGCAACAGAGAACACAGAAAGCAGCAGAAGAAAAATGCTGTATTCTCTGAAACCAGTCAATAAACTCTTTCTTACTTTTATGTCTCTGTGGTTTACCCCCAGTTGTAAAATAGGGCTGTTGTCAAGATAAACCAGTTACTAATACGTGGAGCACATTCTGAGAGTAGTGGTGAACAGTGGTGAGGGCTTGCGAATAATTTCACCTTCACAGGATTTGGACAGTGTAAATCAAGCAAAACATGCTACCATTCACTGAGGAGGGAGGGATTAAAAACTGACTCTTTGCTTATTAGGTGAATACCATTCATGTTGAGGGCTGATTAACACGTCACATAAAAAAAGCTATTGTGATCACGACAGGTCTCCATTATAAACTGAAAGGAGCTGATGGCTATATAGCAAATCTTCAAACGGGTGTTTTCCAAGCATTTTGTGGATGATTTATAAATCTTAATTATAAATTCACTTTATAGATTTTTTTTCCTAACAGCTTTGTCTTAGAAAATGAAGATCAAAACAGAATCTGTTTAATTATTCACTGCAGCTATTGACAATTTTGTCAGGCCACCTCTAACGAATTTGATATGCATGTTTTCAACCAATTTCAAACAATCAAACAGTGGTTAAACACTAATTGTTAACTGTAAAACATTTTTTCTTTTTACAGATGCAATACAGAATGTAGAACAATTAGGAAAGTAATTTTTAATGTGCATGGTCTAACCTTTCAGTCTTCTTAATGTCAATGGGACTATCCACATAACGTTATGCATACATGTACCTGCACAACTGACGTCACAGGATGTTCTTCAGAAGCATCCAAAAACCCCAGATCCATAACGTACGATGTACTTATTATTGCACAGCAGTAATCTCTCATTAAATAAATCCCACAATATCTAATAGAATATTAAAATTAAAATTAAGATTTCAAGATCATTCAGCTTAGTGTTTAACTTAAATGTGAAAACAATAACTAAAAAAAAAACAAAAAAAAAAAAACCTCACAAACTAGGAATTATGCATATAAGATGAGCAGAAAAATGATTCCAGTACAGAAGTCAAGCTGAGGGGAGCAACTGTGAAAAAATAAAACCAATCAAACAAACAAAACATTAAAGAGAAACAAAAACAAAAATAAACAAACAAAACCAAAACAGACAAACAAAGAACCGACCAAAACTCTTTTGGGGTACAAAGGATATCGAGATCCCAAGTACACACTAAACCAAAAAAAGAGTAATTTTCACTTGTATATCCATATGAACAGTAGATATAACAAAAAAATTATTAATCGTAAGCATAAAATCAAGCCAACTTGTCAACCTGCTCCTCGGGTTGACCTACTACTGGGAACCTACCCAATACTGCCCAAAGACCTCTTGTTCACAACATTTGAAATAATGTGGACATGGTCTATAGTGGAACATAATCAAATGTTGAATTCTCAACATTTTCACATAACAAAAAAACTGTTTTCCAAACAGTCCCAAAACATTAACGTAGTTGTGCAGTACAAAATACTATGGAAATTCAGGAGTTATCAATTTTACACTCTCTTTACCAAAAATCCAGGTATATGCCTATTCATCTGTTTACATATGTGATATCTTTCATTCAGGACTGAACAGCAGTTTACATATCCTGTAGTCACAGTGAAATAAAGAAGCTGGCACCATTGATAAAAAGACTAATCTCTAGAAGGAGTGAGACATAACCTGATAGGACAGTAGAAAATCGTTGGACCACAGAACTTTCAGGCACAGCACTGCCACTTTTGCAGCACTTGACTGCTTCTTGTCACAACATTCAAAGTTCATACAGGTAAATGAAAGGTTGTTTGATGAAGAAACAGAAAAGTAAGTCTTAGACTCTAAAACTGTCTTAAACATTTCCATTTCTCAAAAGGAGGTACTTTCATTAACAATAAAATTGTTAACTTGCCTTAGTTATTGTAAATCTGAACAAATTTTAGCATGTTCCTTCAAAAGAACTACGAGTTACTGATTACGAGATGTGTTGTTTCAATAGCAATGAATGAAGAATATGGAATAAATTGATTATTAAAATCAAAAGCAGTAAGAGCGGTAATCAGATACACATTGTCACAGATTACATACATTCTAGTAAGTCAACTGTTATGGACAAATCAAGTAGTGCCATCAAAACTCAGTAAGCTCCTGCCAGTATGAAGATCTCTAGAGATTCTCAGATCAGTGACACACCTGATAGAAAGTCCACAGAATGAAACTATATTTGTACTAGGTTTTAACCTCTTCTATTCAGTTCAAAAACCTTGAAGAGATAATTTTAGGGGTTTTTTTATGTCTTTATAACACATCTCTATAACAATTTGTATTGAATTCTAGGATAAAAAACTTCTTGTTGCTCAGAATAATTTTCAATGTTCATAAAAACTTCAGTATTTCTTTCCTTTGAAAAATATTCCCTAAGTCACTTTTCAGCTATTCCACGTTTAAATTAGGTAGAACCTATGAAATAAACTATGTTAACTGATAAAACAAGAAAGAGATTCAAGGAGAGAATATATGCTTTGAGGGTCTCTCAAAAAGCTTAAAATACTCAAATTTACATGCACGTGTATGTTCATCTACAATCATATTAATCCAAACATATGCACAGTGCTGTCTCTCCATTTAATAAAATATTTAATACTATATCCTTTACTTTCAATATGAAGAATACAAACTATTTTTTCCATTTCTGTTTAGAAACAGAACTGTACATTTCCTTCTACAGTTTAAAAAAAATAAATAAGGGAAATGAAATTGAAGTAATTTTAACCATGGAGGGGTGGGGGCAAGCAGAGTTAAAGCAATGAATCATTTTACCCTCAGGACTATTTGAATCAGAGTATTTCTGAAAGCTGTATGTTACCTACATTTCCTTCCTCTAATAATTTTAATTTCTTTTTCAGCTGGGGGCGAGGAGGGCAGGATTGACAAAGAAAAGCAATTCAACACTAACAGATTCGTACGAAACACAAGAATCTGGATAAGTCTTGCTTGTTCTTACATCTTCTCAGGTGTCACTCGGTTGATGATTCGTAAAAGTAATTCTTATTTTTCTCTGATGTAGGCTGTAACATGGTTTAGTCACCGAGTTCCAGGAAAGTGAACGCTTTTACTTCTGAGCTTTCATCTGGCATCCCCCAATACTCTGAACAATATCACCTCGCCGCTAGCGTTTTAATGAACTTCTGAAAAAGTTGGGTAGCGACGATCCCCAGCGCGGGGCGCCGTCTCTGAGAGGCGCTCGGGCCACCTCGCGGGCAGGAACAGCCCAGGAGCCGGGGCGCAGCCAGGGACAGGGGCAGTCGCAGGCCGGGGCAGGGGCAAGGCCAGGGGCAGCATCCCTGGACCGCGGCACCTTGGCCATCAGGCTGGTCGGTCTCTCCCGGGACCCTCGGGCAGACCCCAGCCGCCCTTCCCGCGCGGCGGGGCGCCCCTCCGCCCCTAAACCCTGTCAGTTCCAACAGAGAAACCCTTCCGCCCGCAGAACCCCTCGCATCCTCCCGTTACAACGGGGGCACCCCCGCCCGACCGCGCCCCCGGCCCGTCAATGCCCCCGCGACCGGGGGCCCGCCCCCACGGCCAGGAGGGCGATGACTCCCCACGGACCGACCGCGCAGGTGGTGCCGGTGCCGCCGCGGTCCTTCCTACCTGTGTCCGCATCCGTCACCTGTTGCCCGGCCGCCTCCATCCGCGCAGCCCCCCGGTGCCTCCTCGTGCTCCGCCGGCGCCAGGGGCTTCTCGGGCTCGCAGGCCACCTCCATCCCGCCGGGCACCGCCTCCGCCTCCTCCTCCTCCAGGGACTCCACGTAGAAGACGGTGCGAGGCGGCGGCGGTCCCGGCCCGTAGCCCGTGGCCGGCCGGCCTCCGGCGGGCAGCAGCGTCCCGTTGGGAGGGCTGGCCGTGGTGGCCGCCGAGGAGGAGGAGGAAGAGGCGGATTTCTTCCAGAAGACGCCGTTGCCTCTCTCCTGGCTCTTCAGGAGGCGGCTCTGGCTCGGTCCCCAGTGCTCGAAGCTGCTGTCGGGCGGCAGACAGCCGCCCCCCGCCGGGCCGCCCGCCGGCGAGGGGTGGCTGAACAGTTTCCAGCGGAGGCGCAGGATGTGCTTCACGTCGAAGTCTTTCCTGCCGGAGCCGGACATGGTGCCGCGGCGGGCGGGGGACGGGCGCGGGCTGAGGCGGGAGTCACGGCGGCAGGCAGGGCCAGGCGGCGGCGGTGGCGGGATGGCGAGGCGGCCCCTCTCCTGGCAGCGGCGGCGGCGGCGGCGGCTCCTCCGGGCAGCGCTGCGCTTGTAGGGCGCGGGGTGGCAGCCGCCGGGAGGAGAGAGATGCGCGCACACACCCGTGCAGAGAGAGAGGGAGGATGGATGGATGGAGCGATGCACAGAGCCAAGAGGAGGTAGAGACACGCAGCAGGGAAGGGAGAAAGAGAGAGAAGGAGAGCTGTCCACAGCTGACGAGAATTGCACGGAGATCGGTGGAAAGGGGAGGAGAGAGAGGCAGAAATGAGAGACACCTCTCAGGGGAGACGGGCACTTGCGAGGGAAGTGCGGGTGAGGGAGGCTGCGACAACGCTCTAGTCTGATTAACTGGAGAGGAGCGGCGGCGGCAGCAGCAACAGCGGGAGGCAGGTGGCACTTCCTCAGAGAGCTCCGTGACCGAGTACAGCCACAGAGGAAAAAGTCACTTGAAAGCCTCTCTTTACCTCCCACCTTCCCATCGCATTTCTCTGGGGAGTCCCATGCCTGCCGTTATCTGGGATGGCAAAGCCTGAGAGCTGGCGCGGAGAGAAATCAGGGCTCTTTTATATATACTGTACGTAGGAGGGAAGAAAAAAAAAAAAAAATCCCGCCCGTGAGGCTGTCAAGGTCCTCAGTATGTACAATTTTCTGTCTATCTCGGCTCCTCTCACCAAGCCACCCCCTCCACTGCATGTGACGCAGTTGTGCTCTGGGGCCATCAGTGTGAAGAGACAGGAAAAGAGATGATGCTTCCTCGTGCAAGTAAGTCGGCAGGTCACGAGCTATCCCTCACAGCCTTCTCCTCCTTCTCTCTCCAGTGCAGGTCTCCTCACCTTGGTATTTTGGTTCTGAGACTACTGTGTATTATTGGGAGCAAAATAAAGTGAAACGACAAATGCATCATCAGCAGTAAACACACAAATGTGAATCGTAGGAGTAGAGGTGTAATAGACCGCATGCAGACTGAGTGAGGTTACAGGTTAACGATTTATTCTGCAGGCTCCAGTCATTAGCCTGTTGGCTTAGTGTTGCTGTACCAGTAGAAAACACTGGCTAGAGGGACAATGTGTCAAACAGAAATAGCACTACACATCTGCTTCTTACCTTTTGTTTTTGCTCTTAATGCAGTCTGGCAGTACTAAACCCAAGGGAGGTTCCTTTCTCAACAGAAGGGATCTGCTTAGGAACATCTGCCCATTTGGGAGGGGTGTCACTGAGTACATTGCATCTGGGACATAATTACAGAATTAAAAGCTTTATGCTCAAACGTGAGAAAGGAATATAGGGGAAAAACTACATATCACGGCTAGCTCATGAATCCCCATACATGAAATGTTGGCAGTAAACAATACCTGCAATTCATTTGTACCTTAGAAAATAATATTTTAGAAGAACATTTATCCCTAGGAAAATGATGAAAAAGAAAAAAGATGGTATTTTCCCCAGTAATCTTTGCATTAGCCAGCTTTACCCATGTACTCATGAACTGTCAAAAGTTCAGTATACTAACTCTTTGTGAAATCAAGAAACAAGATTGCAGGAATCATTTCCCTCGAGCTGGAATGTTTTAACTCCTCATTTGTAAAATAATATAGCTTGAAAATTTCTCCAGAGAAACACAAAACTCAAACATTAATTAACAATTTTATTACTGTTATATTTACTTTATGAGCGAAGTATATTACTGTTTAGTTTTTCTGTGAAGTAGTGCTTCTGAGTATAAACTAATATTAGGGTTTGTGTTTAACATTGATAAAGTTCTGGATTTAACACTACAAGAATTCAGGGCACCAAGTCCTGCTTTCAAAGGAAGAAAAATCGCTACTGTGCATTTTAAATATTGATTTATTCCACAGCAGCTGGACTGAAAACTCTTTGGTGCCTCAACTTTGCTCTCAGTATTCAGTGAAAAAAAAAGACAAAAACCATTCTAAAACAAACAGAAGAGACAACTCATTTTTATCCAGGAACTGATCTGAGTATGTACTGCTGAGAAGAGCAGAAGGAAGAAAAGCCTAAAAATCTTCATGTAGACTAGGGCAGATGAAACTTTCATCATTTCCGAGACTCTAGAAATGCATCTCTTATGATGATATATATGAAATCATCAGTAGTGAATACTGGCTACTTAATGTCTAGTTAAAAGCTCAGAAAGATGTGTATATGTACATGTAAAATAGTTTTAATCAATGAATACATAGACAGTATGCTATCTCTTCTTCATTTAATATCTCTTGGCTGATTAGGACAATGCAGGTATATAATCTGACTTGAGGATAATCGCATCATTTCCTTGCCATATAATAAATATTACTAATTTTAAAATCTGCATTAATATTTAAATTGATCATTTGATGTGAACAGTCGATAAGTTAGATGTTCTGTCTTTGCCTCAGCTACATAGGTAAATATAAATGACAGTACATTCCAACAGAACCTACTTCAGAGGTCACTCAGTAAATATATGTAACAGTATCACCCAAGAAGGTCATTCAGGTGTTTTATCTCCCTTCCATCCAGTACAAGCTATCAAGCAATTATGGGGAAGAAAGGTAAAGAATACTTTAGGTTATTTGTTATTCATATGTTTTTATTTCAGTTAAGTCAGTAACTGAAATAAAGTCTTGAATTTTTTTTTACTAATTAAAATCTCAGTTCTTCAGTAGGTCATGTATAGTCATTGACGTACTTTTTAACATTACTTGATTCTTTCATATTGTAATACATAAATATTTTTTGCAGTAAGACGTTCTTATTTGGTATGTATACCTTATTTTTCCTACATGAAGATATATGAACACTTGAGTATCATAAAATGAAGTCTGAAAAACTGCCTTGATTATCTTAGTTCATATCACATTCATAATTATTTTTTCAATGCAAAGTAAACAAGAGTTATCCCTAAAAAAAAGCTACACTGAAGAAATAGCCATTGCCAGTATATATAGTTAATTATTGAATTGATTTCCTGAGCTGTAAGTAAAAGAATTAAACAGTTTGATTTAGTTAGGCTTTCACAGTTTCTTATCTTCATGTTTCCCTGAGAGTACTTTTGATATGTCACTGAGGCAAAGAACATGTTATAGATTATTGCATGATAAGAACACAAAATGTCTTGGCATTTTACCTGAAACTTCTTCTTAATAAAAAGATTAACTTTACTCTGTACATTGTCTAGACTTGCTTCTCCAACAAGGAGAAGAAAAAATGGTTCTCTACTGGAACTCCAGGGGCCTTACTCATAGGAATTAAATAAAATAATTAGTTTACTAGTGGGATATGTCTTTGCCTACTCATATAGGGTTGACATAAACATGTGAATGAAACTATGAAATTGCAGGTGTTTTTCAAGTTGTCAGAGGGAAATACTTCAATGGCTAACATCCATACCTTCCACCCATACCCTATATCTTCCTTGAACTGCAGCCCAAATTATAATAATCATGGGTAAACTTCCTCATGTCTGTTGCTTGTACAGTGTATATCACATTTTGGTTTTGTTTATTAAATAGCATATTTCTGAACTTCCTCAACTGATATAGTTTCCCCAGATTGCTCATTGCCACTCAAATCTTCAATAACTTTACAGACTTTGCTCAAAAGTATTTATGGCTCTTTTTTCTTCTTCTATTAGTCAGGCAAACAGATGAAAGTGGCTAATCTTTATGTCCCTGTTATGAGTCAGATGCCTGACACTTTCTCTTTGTGTTTTTGTCTTTCTAATGCTCTTCAAATGAAATAAATTCACATAGTCATGTCCCTAAGGAAGTATCATGCTCATGTTTTGTAGGAAAAATGGCCTAGGGATATACATCCTTTTAATAAATCTTCAAATAGTAAAGAGAACTTCCAAAGAGAAGAACTTTGAAGTGTGTATGCAAACTAGTCAGATTTTATTAACCCTCTTTTTTCCTCCTTTCCGTTGCAAAACTTTGGAGTACTGTTTATTTTTAGACAAGTGTTTTACATCAAGCTGTTTACATGTTGTACCCTAGGGAGAACTGCTGAATGAGAAATAAGTCCAAGTTGTAGTTGCAGTTATTGATTGATAAAACAAGCAACAGAGGAATCATCATGCAAAGAAACCCGAGCAGGCCTACTCTATGTGAATCTACACATTAAGAAAGTCTCAGCAAATTAAAGGGATAAGGGGTGGTTTTGTTACTGAATTTTATCCTGTTACATATTTTTAATCCAGAAGACACTAAATTTGGATGAGAGCAAACACAGAAAATGAGACAACACTGTGCTTTGGATAAGGATGGTACTAGAATGAATGATTTTAAAATGGTTTTAAAACAATTCTTACTTGAATGTTGGAATTCTCGCATGAGTGAATGAACATGCACTTGAGCTATAAAGATGCTTATTTTGTGGGTGATAAATTACACATTCAGAAGCTAAAATCTGAGGCTATTAAAAAGATGCTTAAAAGGACTGCTTAAAAGATGTTAAAAAGAACTATATAATAATTAATTAGAGTAGAGAAATTAATTAATTAAGTAGAGAAAGAAATTGTTGGAACTGGACATCCATTGACCTCAGAACTTAGTGCTGAAAGTGTGAGTGTGCTAAATGATAAGCATATAATGCTTATCAATTATTCTTTAAACTTTTGGTATGTACAAAGCCTTTGAACAAGCTTTATGACATGTAGATATATTCTGAGTCTGTTTTGATAAACTGAGAAACATTGGGAATAGATGGTATGGGGGAAATTAAACAGTTACGTTGTTTATGATGTATACATATAATACTGTGGCATTACTGTGAGTCAGGGAATTTCAACTTGTTAAACTGATTTTCCTCTCATAATAACATATTTAAAATACTATAGATATGCCCACACTTACTGCCTATGATTGTTTTCTAATGGAAAGGAATAACAAAACCAGGCAAACAGTAAATTGGACCTGATTCACCTGTCAGTGCTTATGTATGTTTTTTTGTACTGAGTTTTCAACTGAAATTGAACTTTTGAGAATGATTTTGCCTTCAATAAGTTAAAAGGTTAAATGGTGTTATTTCTTAAAAATGAGATAGCACAGCACAGGCTGAGTTTCTGAAAATGTGGTGATATAACCAGCTACGTTTATTTCAGGTGGTAACAAAAATTACTTCTCCATAGTTGTTGTTGAATGCCACCTTAATAGTGCTGGATAAAGTAATGATATATAAATTGCCCTGGTGGTGATTTGAACAGATATATTTTACTCTGCATTACAGGAGCCTAGAATAGGACAGTCACTTATATTAGCCTGGAAGACGGTCATTTCTTAATCCATTTCATTATGATCACAACAGTTATATAAACACACTCTTAAGGAGTTTTTAAATGGTCAGGGAATTTCACTTAAGAAGTATAAATTGTGCATGATTTGTCATGAATAAAGATTCACAAGTAAACTAAGGTTAGAGAGCATGTCTATCCAGCACACAGCTGGATAAACACACCATGTGGTGGGTGAGCAATTTGCTTATGGGTCAAGCACAGAGGATAATAGT